TTTATGGCATTCAGAAGGCAATGTGAAAAAAATAATCTTTCGGGATGTAAAGTAAGAATCGAAACATCTTTCAGGATGCAAAGTGCTAAAAACTCAAATTTTGTTGGTTCATCTATTACCTCTGTTAAGCTGAAGGCAATAATTATGTGCCCGGGTCTCGTGTTGAAGTGTTTTTGACAGCTAAAAATAAAGTTGAATATCTTCCTGAGGAGAAAGCCCGCAATTCTAATTCAAATCTTAAACAGTGGAAAATAGAGAATGCACAAGTGATGACTTTGTTATGGAATAATGTGAAAACCTCGGATAAGTATTCATCTCACGTCTCTTGACACTGTTAAGGAGATATGATTTGCGCTTAGTTGTTTTCCAGAGAAGATAATATTGCTAGAATTTATTAGTTATTTCAAGTTTGTTCAGTCTGGTGCAAGGTGATAAGAATATTAAAGAATACTACTACATGCTGCAAAATTTATGAATAATCTCAATGCTTATCAGTCATTCTCTATTGATTTGAAGGTCCAAAAAAAGCAGCATGAGGAATTAATGACTGTTCACTTCCTATCCAGTTTAAAATTAGAATTAAAAACTGTTCGTGCTCAAATTTTAGCCAGTAAGAAAATTCCTTCGATGCCAGAAGTTTTTTCTCGTATTCAACGAGCTTCTTTCACTAATAGTGGTATCTTTGTACTTGACTACTTAGCTTTAGTTGTATTGCCTAATTAAGTGTATCATAATTTATCTCATGGGGCAGAGAAAATCACGGTGGGCCTAGAAGTGGTGGTCATCGCCTAATGGACAACCACGGTGGTAGAGGTTGCGGACCTATGAAGTTTTACATTCATTGTGGACTTAAAGGCCATACAATAGACTATTATTGGGATCTACATGGAAAACCCTCTTCTTATGCTCATGCTATGTCTTTCTCAGATGATTTGGGTTTAGGACAGTTTGCTATCGGTGAGCCTACATCCACATCAGAGATTAAATCTATGTCTAAGGAAGAGTATAATCAACTTGTTTCTAAGTTTGGTGTTCCTACTTCTACTTCCACAGCTATTTTGGCCCAGTCAGTACAACATGTTTGATATCTCATTCGTATACTTTTATCTCCATGGGTCATTGACTCTAGGGCCTCTGATCATATGATAGGTAATGTGAGCGCATTCTTATATTTTAATCATATTTCTACTAACCAACATGTCACATTAGCTGATGGAACTTCATCCTTGGTATTTGGTGTTGGTGTTGTGAACCTTACTTCCTCGTTGTCTTTATTCTCAGTCTTGCATATTCTTAAATTTTCATTCAATTTGATATTTGTGAGTCAACTCACTAAATCTTTAATTTATTCCATAACATTTTATCCTTCTTTTTGTGAGTTTCAGGACCTCCACACGAGGAAGATGATTAGTAGAGGTCATGAAGACAACGACCTTTACTATCTTGACATAGTTCCTACTTGCAGCTTTGTTTTACACACTTTTCCACATCAGTGGGCATCTATCTTTGCAAAGTCTTCAATAGTTAGTTCCTCAATCACGTCAATTATCGTCTTTAGATTGTGAGTCGTGTCAGTTAGGTAAACATATTCAGAGTTCATTTACTCCTACATTGTGTAATCGTGTTTCTAATTTATATGAAGTTGGTCATTGTGATATTTGAGGTCCTAGTCATCTTTCTTCTTATGTAAGGTTTAAGTATTTTGTTACCTTTGTAGACGATTTTTCCAGGATGACCTGGCTATTCTTAATGAAAGATCGCTCTGAATTGTTTTCTATTTTCAAAGCTTTTGTTGTGGAAATTAAGACTCTTTGGAGTGTATGTACTTTACAATCTAATAATGCAAAGGAATATCTTTCTCACCAATTTCATGATTTGTTCACTACTCATGGTTTGAGCACTTCATGTAGTAACACCCCACAATAGAATGGAGTGGATGAACGCAAAAATCGTCACCTCATTGAAGTTGGTTGTGTTATTTTGATTCATATGAAAGTACCAAATGTTTTTTTGAGTGATGTTTGTCCTTCATGTCACCTCATTAATTGTATATCATCATCTGTTCTTGATGGTCAAATTCCACACCAAATAGTATTTCCTGATCATCCTTTGTTCTCTATTCTACCACGTGTCTTTGATTATGTAACCTTTGTTCATCAGTCAGGTCAAGGAATAGACAAACTTGATCTTAAATCTGTCAAGTATATTTTCTTGGGTTATTCTCGTACACAAAAAGGGCATCAGTGCATTATAATACAAGCTTTCGCCATCAATTTATCTGATGCTACATTATTTGAGTCTATTCCTTTCTTTTCTGAGGTTGCAATTAATGTCGTACTTCTTCAGTCTTCCCTTCCTTTGCCCCTTACTATCTTGTCTCTACCCACTTTCTCTTATGTTGTCAAACGTTCTATGACGCAAGTGTACTCCTGTCCTAAAAAGACCGTTGTCCAACTACCTCCACCACCCTCTCTATCGTCTAAAGGTCTTGATCTCCCACCATATCTGAATGCCAAACTTCCTATTGCACTTCAAAAATGTAAGCGCTCATGTATCCTTCTTAAGAGTTCTACTGCTCATCCTATTGAAAACTTTCTTTCTTGTAATAGCTTGCCTCCTACCTTCCGTTGTTTTACATCATCTATCTTGTGTCCTTCTGTTCTTCACACTGTTCATGAAGCTCTCGCTAATCTTGGGTGGTGTCAAGTAATGGACGAGGAACTCACCGCTAAGCATGAAAATCAAACTTGAAAACTTATTCCTCTTCCTTTTCGGAAGAAATTAGTTGGTTGCTAATGGGTGTATGTTATCAAGTACTTACCTAATGGTTCCATTGAGAGATTAAAGACCCGAAATGTTGCCAACGTTTTTACTCAGACATATGGTGTGGATTATGTTGAAAACTTCTCCTGTTACCAAAATCTCACATGATCGGGTTATTATCTCTTTAGTAACTAATTTCCAATGGTCATTGTTTCAATTAGATGTCAATAATACTTTTCTGCATGGTGAATTGACTAAGGAAGTTTATATGGAGCAACCACTTGGATTTATTGCTCAAGAGGAGTCTAGTGGTAAGGTATGCAAATTAAAGAAGATAATATATGGGTTAAAACAATCACCTCCAGCATCGTTTGGCAAATTCACGAAAATTGTGTTACAACTTTGGACTTCAACAATATCAAGTAGATCACTCGATGTGTTGTAAGAATTTTGAATCCAGCATGATCGTTTTAGTTGTCTATGTGGATAATATTGTTATTATGGAGAGTGATAGTAAAGATATTATTGCTTTAAAATCATTCTTGCAACAAAAGTTTCATATTAAAGAATTGGGTAAGTTACGGTACTTTCTTGGAATTGAAATGGCAACATTCAAGAGTGGTATCAGTTTGTCTCAGTAAGCACAACACAAGTATGTACTGGATCTACTTGTTGAAACAGGACTTACAGGTACAAAACCAATTGATACTCCCACGGAATCTAATACAAAACTGATCACAGAATAAGGGAGCTATTTCAACATCCAGAAATATATAGAAGACCAGTAGGGAAATTGAATTACTTAACTATTATAAGACTTGATGTCTCTTTTGTGATTAATGTTGTAAGTTAGTTTATAAAATCTCAAAGAGTACCACATTGGGAGGCAGTGATTAGAATCTTGAGATATTTGAAAAAGGCTCTTGGTCAGGAATTATTATATAGAGCTCATGAATATTTACAAGTAGTTGGTTTTACCAACACAGATTGGACCAGCTCCCCATTAGATAGAAGATTTACCACAAGGTATTGTACATTTCTTGGAGGAAATTTGGTGATTTAGAAAAGTAAGAACCAGAGTGTTGTGGACCGATCTAGTGTTAAGGCAAAATATAGGGCTATGTCTCAAACTACTTGTGAATTGATATAGCTGAAGAATTTATTGCATGAGATTGGTATTCCAGTAACCTTTCCAATGCAATTATTTTGTGATAATTAGGCAGCAATTCACATTGTTTCAAATCCAGTCTTTCATGAATGAACAAAACGTATTGAAGTTAATTGTCACTCATGGTTCAAGGTCACAGTATCTTGACTCGAAAAGCTTTGAGACACATCGGTCGCAATATTAGGCGATACGATCTAAAAGAAAATATTGAACATGACAGGAAATTCAAGTCATATTGTAGCATCACAGAATCGTATCGACTGATTTAGTGACAATAACTCAGCAACTCGGGATTGGCTTGAATACAATTTGGTTGACTCAGCCGTGCAAAACTCAGAATTTATACATATCGTGTAACGATATCGTTTCATAAGGTGCTAAGTAAGGTCTACAGATCAATTGGCAGACAAGGATTAAAATATCGTTTTGCAACAGTCGAAACATTCAAAATGTTTTCATTTCAAAGGACATTAAAATGAAACAGTGATGGAATTGAAATTTTAATACTTCGAGGTGTTCCATAACGTTTCCAAATGTTTTGTTATATTTTAATGTATTTGCACAATTATTTCAAAATATTCCAAGATATTTCCAGATTTTTGGTTTATTTTGACTAATGTTCTGAAAAAAAAATCTTAATTTTTTTTATTTTTTTCATTCTGTTTTTGAAACAGGTCAAAAAGTTCCGAAACACATCGAAACATTTCTATTTCCTAGGTGACTGAAACGATGCACCGAAATGAAATTTTGATCCTTGTTGGCAGACATCTTCACAAAGTCACTCAATAAAGATAAAATTGAAAATATTTGTTCCAAGATAGAACTATTTGATATCTTTAGTCCAGCTTGAGGGAGTGTTAGTGATTGTGGGGTAATAGTCACTGCTTTATTCTCAAGTGTAACTATATATATATTACTCTTTAGTCAATGGAAGTAGCAATGCTATTCCTATTCAATTACGTCTCTCTCTCTCTCGCACGCGTGCATTCCATACCTTGTCTCTTTCTTTCCTGTGCAATTCTGGGTTTGGCATTTGATAGTTATAGAGGCACAAAAAAAAAAGCATGCTTCATTTGGTACAGTCAGGATAACATAAAAGAGTTACCTTCACTATAGCTATTGCAGCAGAAACAGGATCTCTAACTCCAAGAACAGTCCAAACTAAAGAATTATCAGAACCAGCAGGTATTATTCCAATGGGAATTGAAATTGCTTCTTTCTGGTTATCTCTGTTCAGCAGGCCATTCAAAACCTGCACAACGAACTGATTCATGTAATTATGCAACTTATTAGGGGGAAATATTCCACCAATTAGCAGAAACAAAAACGTATGATAAATGCACATTTCAGTAAGAATAATGGCAGTAAAAGCCCATCTTAAGATCAACACGCTCATAACCATGTTAAAAAGTTTCAGAGACTCAAACGATTTCAAGCCCATGTCAGAACCACAAAAAAAAAAAAAACCATGTAATTGAAATCAGTTTGCATTCTAGTGACACAATGCTGATTTAAACTGTAATTGCTGAAGATAATGGTGAAATGGTACCAAATGCCATGAAATTAAAAAATTTCAGTCAAATGCCTGTCATAATGGACATCCACAGCCCACATACTATCCATAAAAAAAGTAGGAGAAACCTTGTCCGTGTCTAATAATGGTTTTCAGTCATTTGTATCATTTAACAAGTCACACCTGATATCTAAACCATACCCATCACCAAGAATTGTCACAATTTCGGAAACCCAGAACTGAGTTCCCATGAGTCCAAGGTGCCAAAATTAAGGTAATAATTTCTTCTGCTTGGAAACAACTATACGAAGGCACCATTCAAAATGATGAAATGGCACAGAGAAAAGTTAGAGGTGACAGGAGGGAGAACCTTTCTAACTCAAGAACGCTGTTTATCCTTCAAGAAGCAAAGTAAAGTTCTGTCTCTGTTGAGTCTACGTTCTCTCTGCTACGAAGTCCTCTACCATCTTTACGACTATATTACTACATCCCTCTGGTTTGTGTCCTAATTTCAATAGGCGAGACATCCCAACCGTTACAAACTGTCAAGATGATGGAATACAATGATAGTAATATTTTGCAATTAATTGTCCATTTCTATTCAACAAGACATACCACCAGCGTGACTGATTGTGATTCCAAGTGATAAGACCTAGGACAGGTGTAGGATCGAACAGAATTGAAGTTAGGTCCAGGTGCTGCAGGACTCCCAATTACCACACACAATCACATACTAAGGTGTTCCCTGCTGGTGGTTGGAATGACGCAAGCCAGGCTAGGTTTTGTTTCAGAAAGATGAATGACGCAGTATGAGTGCTTTTGTGGCAGGCCTAAATTGAGAAAATCTAGTTAGTATATGGGTTTAAGAGGTGGAAGAGTGGCAGTAATTTCTTGATTTAGGAAATGTTTGGATGCAAAGAGCAAAGAGAATGGATTGTAGAATTTCTGACAGTAGCACCTTTTGATGTTTGAGCCAGGAAGGCCAAATTTGAATTGGTAAGGGAGTGAAAAGGTTGGGTTTAGAATCTAAAAATGGGGCTGTTTTAAGCCAGTTCACAATATTTCATGCACAGTGCCCATTCAACCACCAAGATATGTTGATTCTGGAAGGAACGTTGTATGGCTTGAAGCAATCAAAGCATACTTGGATTGACAAGTTTAGTTTATTTATACTTCAGAACGGCTTTCATTGCTATACTTCGGATCATTTTGCATTCACTATCCTCCACAGGTATTATTGTTTGATGGAATTTTTTGATCTCCATCAATGAGAGAGAGAGAAGGTATTTTCTAATTTAAAACATATTTCTGATGTTGAGGATATATTTAAAAATTGACAGCTCAATTAAGGAAAAGATTAAAAAAATAAATAGCTAAAGAATTCTGGCAATCAACATTTTCTAAAACATGGTGCAGGTAATTTTAGGAACCACAGCCGTACCCACTGTAAATGTCAGATACTTCAAGTGAAGTCATTGCAATTGTCCCTAAAAAATTTTGGGTTGATTATTGTTTGCGCGAAAATTACAAACTTAAGGGATTTTTTGACTATTGAATTAACTTAGACTGCATCTGAACACATGAATGAAGTTTCCCTTGGTCCTCCAGCTTAATACCTAGAATCAGCGTCATCACAAGATAATTTACCATGGGATAATTGCTGTTGAGCATCAACATTGTTCAGAGCCTCTCAAGCAAATTCCAAAAATGTACTACTGATGTTGTAAACAAGGATCAAAATGTCGTGTCGACACATCCGAAACGTCCGAAACGTTTCGGAATTTCAACACTCCGAAACGAAACAGTAGTTGAATCACAAAATTCCAGTGTTTCGGTTGAAACGGTACTGTTTCAGACCGTTTTGGTCGAAACGGCATTGTTTCGGACCGTTTCGACAAAACAGTGATATATTCGGTTTATTATGAATAATTACATTTAATACCCCATTATAATTACATTTAATACCCACTGTAATTACATTTAATACTCACTATAATTATATTTAATATCCCACTATAATTACATTTAATTCCCACTGCTCTTCTGTCTTTTATAATTTTTTTGTTATAAGAATAAATAATTAAACTTAATACCCTACTATAATTATATTTAATACCCATTATAATTATATTTAATACCTACTGTAATTATATTTAATACCTTACTGCTGTGCAAGTTTTTTGCTTTTTTTTTTGTTATAAGTATTAACAATTACATTTAATACCCTAATGTAATTATATTTAATACCTACTGTAATTACATTTAATACCCACTGCAATTACATTTAATTTTTAAGTATACATGAGTATCATTAATTTAATTTGATACCCTTCATTATTAGTATTATAATAAAATAGTATTATTAATTGGATAATATTACCGTAATAATATGATTTGGAGTAACTATTGTCATCATATTTATGTCACATATGGAGTTTCTCTAAGTAACTATCCAAAGCTTACACCGATGTATGAGCCTGCTCGACACTCCACAGGGGGATGGATGTAACCATGTAAGTATGTACTCATTAGCATTTCATGTGTATTATAATACCTTAATATTATGTAAAAATGTGTTTATTTCATAAAAATTAAGTGTTTGAAACTAATTTAAGTGACTTTCGCCTCATGTCAAGCCTTTTTTTCCCTCAAATTTAAATTTATTCTTGTATAAATTGATGTTAACCTAATAAATATATTGAATTAATCAATTATTTAGCATATTTTTATAAATTAATGGATTGTATTTGTGTTTCTATGCGTTTCTATATTTTTTCTGCGTTTCCATTGCGTTTCCGAAATGTTTCCGAAGCGTTTCCGAAATGTTTCCGAAACGTTTCTATTTTTGAGTTGACCGAAACGGTACTTCGAAACGAAATTTTGATCCTTGGTTGTAAAAGCTTCCAAAGGTACTGGAAATTGGTTGCCTCCAAACAAAACAATGCTGAATGACACAGTAGTTTACCCACTCGTCACCAGAGATGGACGGTCATGGAGTAAATAAAAAATAATAGCCAAAGTATAGATATTGTCAGGCATGTTATCACGCCCCAAAAATACTCATATAGTTTATCACCATCTTTAGTTCTTTTGAGATCAACAGAGCCATAACTTCTTAATGTGGAAGGAAGGAATTCAAAAAAAAAAAAAAAGAAAGAAAAAAGCTCAATTTGCCTCCATAAACCATCAACCACGATTTATTAACATGAATATGACTACATTACAAGACAACAAATAGCATAAAATGGCAGATGACTAACCTCATTAACAATTCCATCACCTCCAACACATATAATTCCTGCCAGAAGTACAATTCCACATATGCAAAGATAGTCAGACGCATGACTATACCAAATAAATTGACGACATTAAAAAACACAAAGGCCTAAATACCATCAGGGCATGTGCTGAAGTCAACAGTGGATGCAAGTTTTTTAGCATGACCAGCAGATGTCGTTTTAACTACCTCCATCTTAAACCCTGCAAGCTGTCATAGATTCAAAAATTAAATAGAAATTGGGTGTATGAACAAAAAACTGCAACGGTACTCAATTCCTTCCTATGACAGAGTTATTCGAGCCAACTACTTAATCTAACATGTCACCACAAAGAAAATCTGAGCAGCAAGAAATGTTACTGCAAACAACTAGGGTCAATTATACCAAAAGAAGTCACTAACTAAAATGCAGAAGGTGCAGCAAGCCTGTTAAATGTCTCCAATTGATTATCACCCCTTGAACAGAAAAAAAAAAACAATACGAGAGTCATAATAATTGCTTTTTGCCACCAGCAATGCAGCTGAAACCTTTGGAGTATAATGAGAAATTGTCCTATTCTTTCAATTGGATTAGCATCAGAACTGGAAATATGAAAAATGCATGGCCCCAACGGCCATTTGTTCACAATTCCAATATTTCATGAATGAAGCCCAAGCAAACAGGTCATAGGTCTTCTCAAGGTCTAATTTGCATATTACCACTCATCCATTGCTCAGTACAGAATGCACTCGTTCAACTAAGCAGCCATAATTAGATGCCAACTTGCCTAGGAACCGACAACCATTCCTTTGATGACAAGAGCTCGCCCTTATCAGCAAAAACCTATCAAGCCCTTTGCTCTTCTATTTTGTATTAGCCCCCTCTTTGACTTTTGAAAATTTTGGACTCTATGCAAGGTTATGAAAAGATGTGACAATAATTACTTTTAAATTAGGCATGAGTGGATATTCCATATTAGGAATCGGGGTAAGCAAACCTACTTCTTTGTTCTTACTTGAACCCCACCCCCCCCCAAAAAAAAAAAAAAACACATTCACGTGATCTAGATAAAGCTAAAGAAACATTTAACTCATCCCCATCCTCACACTCTCTTTCCAGTATGTCCTCCCTTAGTGTGATGATGAAGACTCACATGATTTCTCTCCCTTCAGAAACATGGTTCAACAACAGAGTTGTATCCGATTTAACACCTTCCAAGATGATATCGTTATACGATACATATAAACCCCGAGTCTCGCATAACTCGATCGAGTCATCCAAATTGTATCCAAGTCAATCCCAACTCGTCAAGTTATCATCATCGAATCGGCCGATACATTTCCACGACGCCACAATATGACCTGAATCTCTTGTCATATTCAACATTTTTTTTTAGCTCGTATAACCTGATATTGCTCCGCGACGCCTCAGCCGATCTGTCTCAGAGCATCCACGTGATCTATGCTGCCCCTTGTGAAAACAGGAGATATTCTTTAAAGTGGTAGCTAAACATTGGCCCAAATGTAAAAAATGGGTCTAGCTTGGCCCAACGAAATTAACAAATTTTTTATTTATATTTTGCTAACATTTTTCCATCTTTTAGGAATGTATACTCATAATTAAAAAAAGATTCCAGATAAAATTTCAATTGGCTATGGTTTCTAAATCCCAAAAATATTTAAGTGGATTGCCTTCAATTAAAAGTCACTAGAGAACTCTTATCGGGTATTTATTAAAAGATAAATTCATATAACATTGTTTATTATACATATCACAAGAGGTCTATATTTACAAAAGCTTAGAGTTAAAAATACATAAATTAATTTTTTGAGAGGTGTGAACGAAAATAAAAAATTCAAGTTCCTAGTTTTCGTTACTATTACGGAACGCCCCGTTTCATCCCACATGTCACATAGTTACCATTATTATTACGGCAGCCGTTACCATTATTCAGAACCATGGTAGGGCCTTCTCGTATTGTGTCTACTTCTGGTTATCGTTATTTTGTTACATTTATTGATTATTATTCTCATCTTACTTGGGTTTATGTACTACACAGTAAAAGTGAAGTTTACTCATGTTTTAGATCTTTCCATAAAATGGTGAGCACTTAATTTGACGCCAAAGTCAAAATTCTTCAAAATAATAGAACCGATTATATTGATGGGGAGTTCACTCTTATCTCAATGAAAATGGCGTCTTGTACCAAACTACGTGTTTGTGTACCCCTGAGCAAAATAGTGTTTCTAAGTGAAAAAATCGTCATCTTCTTGAGGTTGCTCATTCATTGATGTTTGCTATAACTATTCCTCCTTTATAGGGAGATGCAGTTCTTAATGCAGCTTATTTTATTAATCATCTACCCTCGAGTGTCCTCCAATTTAGGTCTCAAATCGAGTGACTTGCGTAAGTCTTTTTTCATTCTTTCTATTTCTTTCATTCCTCCTAAAGTTTTTGAGTGTTTGTTTTGTACACGATTACAGACCCTCTACGAGAAAACTTGACCACGTGTTTTTGTTGGTTACTCTACCACTCAAAAGGAGTATAAATGCTATCATCCATTTTTACAAAAAATGTATGTTTGCATGGATGTTAGCTTTTGTGAATTTAAATCTTTCTTCTCTACTACACAATCATCTCTTCAAGGGGAGAATACTATCATTGAGGAAAAGATGGCATGTCAGGAACCTTTTCTTCAATTACTTGTTTAGTGGAATATTGGTAAGGGAAACAACAACTTATTGAAGAAAAAGGAGGTGAGACTAGTTGTCCATTTGGTACTCGTCTTGACAAGAATAACCTGAAGACTTACTCTCAGTGTCAAAAGGTACAAGGACAGACTACTCACGTGACACTGAGTCAATTGAATTCCCCAACTTCAGTTCAAACACTTTCCAATGATTTGTCAAGTAATGAACCTTCAAATGTTACTCCTATTGATAATTCTGTTGTTAATGATTCTGAGCCTCCTATTGCAGTTATAAAAGGTGTTAGAACTTGTACTCAACACCCCATCTCTAACTATGAATGAGTCCTTATCCCCATCATATTGTGTTTTTGTTTCCTCGCTATCTTCTACATCTATTCTACGGGGTTGAAAAAAAGTCCTCACTAATCTCAAGTGGAGAGAAGCTATGGTAGAGAAAATAAAAGACATGAAAAAAAAACAACACATGGGAACTAGTTTCTCTTCATGATGGAGCAAGGGCAATAGGGTGCAAATAGGTGTTTACTGTCTAACATCAAGTCGATGGAACAATCGAGAGGTACAAGGCAAGGTTAGATGCTAAGGGTTTCAACCAGACCTATGGCATTGATTATTAGGAGACTTTTGTCCCTATGACAAAGATGAACTCTGGGTAGTACTATGTAGTAGTTGGACGTGAAGAATATTTTTCTTTATGGAGATTTGAAAAAAGAGGTGTACATAAAATTTCTACCAGGTTTTTCATCCTAGTTAACCAAAGGAGAGGTATATAAGTTGAAGAAATCTTTTTATGGGCAGCAGCAGTCTCCCAAAACTTGGTTTGATAAGTTTCTCAAAGTTATGCTTAAATTTGGATATAAATAGAGTCATGCTGATTATCCTGTGTTCATCAGCAGATTGATGATAAGATCATTGTTCTAATTGTGTATGTGGATGACATAATAATAACCGGGAACGATGTGCAGACAACCACCAAACTTAAAACCCAGTTGGCTAAAGAGTTTAAAATCAAAGACTTTAGGTACATTGAGATCATTTCTTGAAATTGAGGTTGCTAAGTCATTTCCCAAAGAAAGTATATGCTTGACCTTCTTAAAGAAACAGGCATGTTGGAATGTAGACCAGCAAATTCTCTCATTGAAATCAATCATCGATTCAGTAGTGGAATTGGTGATGTAGTTGATAAGGAGAGATATAAGAGATTAGAGGGGAGATTGACATATCTCTCTCATACTCGTCTAGATATTGCTTATGTAATGGGTGTTATCGGTCAGTTCATGCATGATGATCAAATTTCTCATCTTGAAATTGTTTATCGTATTTTTGAGATATCTAAGTCAACTCCAAAAAAATAGATTTTGTTCACCAAACATGGTCACTTGAAGTTAGAAACATTTACTGATGTAGATTGGGCAGGTTTTGTGAATGACTAGCGATCTACTTCGAGCTACTACAGCTTGATTGGAGGAAACTTTGTTACTTGACGAAGCAAAAAAAAAAGGTAGTGGTAGTTAGGTCTAGTGCTGAGGCTGAATATAGAGCAATGGCTCATTGAATTTGAAAATTTATGTGGCTTAAAATCTTACTGGAATAGCTCAGAATTCATGAACATATGCCTATTAGACTGTATTGTTAAAATAAAGCAGCTATCAAAATCACGCATAATCCAGTTCAACATGATAGAACCAAACATGTTGAGATTGACCAACACTCTATCAAAGTAGAGTTGAACAAGGACTTGATTTGCATGTCTTTTGTGAAATCGGAGAACCAATTGGCTGATGTTTTCACCAAGGGACTTAGTAACAGCAAGATTTTTCATCCTATTGTTTGAAAGTTGGACATAGAGATATCTATACACCCACTTGAGGGACAGTGTTAGTTATTGTTAGTTATGTTTTATTTTTAACTTGAGGGTGCTCTTGTACTTTATGCTTATTTATATAAGTTTGGGTGTAATTGTGTAACCTAACAGACTATTTTCACATACTTCTCACCTATCTTCCTCTCTTCTCTAAACTTTAACAGACTTACAATCTAGCTGTTTTATAGTTTTTATTTTATCCTGTAGCTAGCCTTTTTCCCTTTAATCGAACCCTAAAGAAAACAAGTCAAACAAGAAGTATAGCAATTATATCAAATAGCTAGTTGAATTTTCATTCAAACCTATAGAATTGAGAACTAATTGTTCATTTTTGGTTTTGATTTTACAAAAAATGTGAAACCGTTTAAAAAAAAAATTGTTTCATCATTGGACTATACTGAAGAGAAAGACAAAGTGAACCCTAACTTCTCTGAACCACTTGACATGTGTAATTTATTTTTAGTCGATACGCCCTCAAATTGTAATTCAATTCCTTTTGTATCTACTTCTTTGGTCAATTCAATAGCTTTTTCATTATTTTGCTAAATAAAACTATATTTTAATAGGTAGGCTATAAATTATACAAAAATATTATGATTTTCGTAAGGTTTTTCTATTCTTCTGATAGAAATGTGAAGTTTTTG